AAGAGCAAGGGAGATCATGTAGCACAATAATTGGGGACAAGAATGGGAACGAATATGCAAGTGCAAAATGAATCATTTGACTGTGCTATTGGTTTAGGCAGGGACATTATAATTGATGCTATGAACATGTATTGAGACAGAGTAATATTACATCTATGAATATATATGTATATATAAATATATCCAAATACTTGACCACTTATAATATTCTCGAAATTTCGCGACTTTCGCGACAGCATGTATTTAATTCCTTCAGACTTTCCAACCTTTGTTTGAGAGTAGGATAAGTCCGGCATTCTTCATCCCAATGATTCTTGTTGCATAGTGCACAAGGTCTTGATAGAGCTTTGATGGTGGGTTTCTCGGGAACAGCGGTTATTAAGACTGAAGTCTCACTGGGGTTGTATCGTGGTCTTGGCTTGCCTTTTCTTGGAGAATGATTCTCCTTATTCCCTCTAAACCATAGGGATTGGCTTTGTACTACTTCGTTCACAGATGTAAGCTCCGTGAGGAAATTTGGAGTTTGGAACGGATGGTAATTTGCTTTCCACAGCTATTTCGATACCGGACTGTTCTAAATTCTCACCGATAGTCTCCAACTGTCGGAGTGTTCGTTCCACGGCCTCAAGCGTTGCTTTCCATTCTCTATCGTTCTTTTTAATAGAGTATAATTCAGTGAATAGAGATCTTTTGATGGCGTAAGGCTGCCCGAATTTTTCGACGAGGACATTTCTTGCGATACTGTAGTTTTCCGGATTTACGTCATAACCCCTGATGGCTTGAAGGGTGCCTCCTTTGAGACATGCGATAAAGTAGTTTAGTTTATGGATATCGGGAATTTCTTATTGATGTATAGCTGTGTCAAAGTTGTTCCAAAATTCCCTCCAACGTCTTGGATTTCCACTGAATGTGGGTAACGATAATTGTGGGAGACTTACTGTAGGGTATTTACCCGCGTGTGTGGGTTCCTTGGATTGGGTTATTTCTTCCCTTATCATACACTGATTTAAACATTGTAATATGAGCTCCGAATCGTTTTGATACATTTTTAAAATAACTACAGTTTGCTTGCTTGGAAAATTAAATCAGTTATATCTGTTTCATCGTCGTTTATCTGAAAACATCAGTCTTCTTCTTTCCTCTTGGTTGAAACTGAGATTTGCTGGATGAATTGTTTCCATTCTGTATTAACTGCTTCCAACGCTTCTATATAAAGTTGGATGTGCATGATTTTTTCTTGAGTGATTCTTTTCCGTTCCTGATGAAGACAGATTGTTTCTTTAGTAGTTGTCATTTGATCGTTTGATATCGTCGAGGACGTCACATAGTTTCCGTTTTGTTTGGTCTGCGGTTCTGATGATGATGGATGATATCTCGGTCCTGGCTCTCGGCACCAGAAAATTTGTTGTGAACTTTGAAGAATTGAAATTGGATTGACTGGTTTAGTTTGAGTTGATTGGTTTGTTGGTTGATTGGTAACCAGACTGACTCTACCATCTCCGATTGATCCTTTTATAGGCTAGATATTTGTAAGGAGGAGCTTACAATGAACGGAATTCCCATGTAAGGATAAGGATACGGTTTACAGAAAAATGGGAATTCATATGACAAGGAATACAATCATAACAAGAAACGATTTTTTATAGTCTGAAGGCGACTAAACATGATGGGAACGTTTAGATTAGTTATTTGGAACAAAGATAGCTGTTGAGATAAGGACTGCAGTGCGAATTAGGTATGAGGACGTGAAAATTAACGAAAATATTACAAATGATGATTCATTAAAAAGGGTCTTTAGTTTAATTATTTGGTTTGGCTATGTGATAAATATTAGAGTTAAATTAATTTCGAGAAGTCTCGAGTTTGTTCTCGACGTATATTGGTATAGGATATAAAATAAAGATATATGAAGTAAATATTGAATCATTACTGGTAAAAGCTGCAACAATTCCAAACACTTATAAACTACAAAATATCACACATTTAAAATAATTCATAGCATTAAAGTGCGGAATGGCTGGCACATATTCCGTAGCAAGCAATTGAAATCATGTCTTTTTTGACAAGATCGAGGAGGATTTAACTTCAGTTATGTAGTGATTAAAGATATTTTGCATATTCCACTTGTTAACTTAAAAATGAGGTGGTAAGGGGATTTGCTGACCGACAAAGTGACAGAGAAATACAGTCATGCAATATGACACAAAAAAAATGTGTTAAAGGACATAAAAAGCAGTATTTTTAACGTTATCGCTAGTAATCTACGGGATATTTCCGACTGGAGTAACTCTAACCTGGAAGGATAAGAATAATAAGAAAAACATCAATTCCCAAAAACATTTTCCTCTCCATCCACTATTTTATTCCCTGTAATTCCGGTAATTATGATTATGATAATTACGAAATTTTTTTCTCCACAATGTTTAATAAATAGGATGTGTATTTCAAGTCATATTATTTCTAAATCTTTCGTAGCGATAAATAAATGATAAATTATATGACTGTGTGATTTTGAACGACACAGTAAAGTGCAGTAAACACGTGGTAAATTAAATACTAATTAATGAATAAAATTAATATAAGACTGTTATATTAAAAATCTAAGGTTACAATATATTGTTATAAATTTATTAAATTAATATATTAATGTAAAATTGTTAATCAGTTCCACGACAGTGCCATTTTAGGCATCACATAACTCTCCTAATTTACCTCGTAAAAGCAATTAAATTTATAATTTGAAGTGAAAATTCTCGTCTAATTTCTCAATTAGATCTCAATTATGAATTTGACTATCAATATTTTGAATATTTTGAAATATTTTGCCATGGATGTTAAATGATCGGACAAATTTTGCTCCTTATAAATAACCGTTTAGCATCGAACATATATGAAAATTACATTTGGCATCGAATAAGCTGAATGGGAATTTTCTGGATCATTGCTTCTTTCGAGTTTTATAATTTATTTGAACAACATTAAATAATTCCATCTGAATTCATGTATATTTTCCTAATCATATTCTTTGAATATTACTAATGACAATCAATTCAGGATTTAATTTCCACATTGATTTCCTTCCAGTACAGTAATCTTTTCTACAATAATCTTTTCTTCCTTCACGCTATCTGTTGTGTATTTTTACTTGTTATCCATGCACATCATCAAACAAATATTTATTTCAAAAAGTGATTAAAAAAAACTTACAAGAAACGGTCGAAATGTTTTTGCTTTCATCATTGTATATATACATATATAAATAAATCATGTATAAAAGAAATTTTAGAAAAGCAATAATTAGTTTCAAAATGGGTGTATAAAATTGGATTGCAAGGCTTATTTTAAAACTTGAAAGGTAGCTAAAATGTATTTGAATCGTCAATTATTTTTCATATAAATTATGAAAATACTGTACAATAGGTAACGAAGGTTTACCATTCACCAATGAATCCAAAAAAAAAAAATTAATAAATCTATTGTTTAACATTATCTGCCTTCTAGGAGCTATTGAGGTGAACAAAATAATTCAATGGAAAGAGAGAAAAAACACACACACACACGTACACACAGAAAAGAATAGTTCGAAAGATCTGATTCAATCACTATATTATTTCAAAAACTTCATGCCAGTTTAAGGGTTTCTGTAAAAAAAAAAGATGAATATAATCCTAAAATTTAAATTTAATAGCATTTTCTTGGAATGACAGAGAGAGAATAAATCATGATTACAATAATCATCATCTGGATAGAATTTTAGACAAATTCTTATTTTTAAAAAATCTAATTAAAATTATATAATTTCCCTCTCCCTGGCGATGATAGCAACATAAGTTATAGCAACAATAAAAAAAAGAAAAAGAAATAAACAACAATAACAATCATAACAATTAATTGTTGAAATTATCGAGAATTTTGTGAAACGAATCACAAAAAGTCACAAAAATACCGTGCGTATCACGAAGTTTCATCAGTTTGTAAATGACGATGATTAGAAAGGAAATGAGAAAAATAATATTTGAAATATTAAATGAAACTTCTTATTTTAAATAAAAAGAAAAACATTGAGAATCTTGGAATAGCAGAAAAATAATGAAAAAATAAATAACGAATTTGAACATACATTATTTTATATAATAGAAATAAAGGCAAAAAGATATGCTACAAATTACAAATGACAAATGCAATTTATTTCAACTGAACAACTCTATCCAAACAGGAAAAGTACTATTATTATTATTATTTCTTTGTTGATACAATCATTAATCACACAATTTTGATAACTAATTGTGAAATTAAAATTTCTTTCTTAGTTTATTAATTTTTGAAAAGTAGTCATTTGATTAATTTCAAGAAATGGATTTTTTTTTGGAGAAATGTGAACAAATGACATGTGTTTTCAAGAGTTCAGGAAATAAAATTGAAATTTGATCACTTAAATTAAAAATTTATTTAAATATAGATTAAAATGAATAGGCTGACAATATTATTATAAGGATATTGAAATAAAGAAGAAACAAAATTGTGGCATAAAAAATAATCATAAAATTAGTTAAAAATAAAAATTAATGCAATTGAGAAATAATGAGGGAAATTAATTTACACAATGTCGTACTTGTATGTAGGATATCATTTCTAAAAGAAGCACTATAAGCAGTTAAAGCTAAATTACTGGTTAATGATTAGTAGATTTCAATTGTATATTTACTGTATAAGTTTGTCATGAATTTAAATTTAACAATTGGTTAATATTGATTTCAAGCAAAATCATTGGCTTTTTTCGTTGTTTTTTGAGGTAGTAGAAAGAGAGGGGATGCAGATAAGTACGATATCTGTGTTGCAACTACAACCTCGGAAAATAAATGAAGACTGACTTAATTTGGGTAAATTTGCAAAAAATTGCAAAAATCATAAATAATAATAATTATTTTGCATGCAAAAGCAATGCATTAATGATCAATTATTTCCGCAATCAATAATTACAATTTCAAGCAGTTACCATATGCAAATATTTAAACATAAGTGTAAGAGAAATAATTAGAAGAAAGCACAGAGAGAGAAAAAAAAGCAAAAGCCATCATCAATTACTATAACGAAGACAATCATCATTAATTTTACTCCGTGAATTCACGGATTTTAGGACTTTGTTTTAGCTTAATACAGAAAGAAAAAACAAAACAAAACAAATCAAAGAAAATAAAAATCGTTTTGGTACCAAGCGTATCACAAATGTATTTTCGAAATGGTAAAGACAAAAAAGATAGTGCATGCGATGAAGATTTAAAAAAAGTTGAAATTTAAAATTGCTATTTAAAATAGCAAATATGAAAACAAAAAACTAAACTAACCATATTACACTTTTTGTAAAAAAAGTTACATTTTGTTGTAACGAAAGAGCTGTCTCAATCATTTTAAATGATTAAACATAATTCTTTGTGTTTTTTTTCTTGGAAAATTCCTGAAATATTATTGAGCAAATAACTGTAAGAATTGTACGGATGCAAATATCTGATTTTTGTTACTTTTGACTCTAATTCATTCATACATATATTTAAATTCTTCCGATCAATTCGAAATTTTGAAATATCCTTGAACAAATATGTAATAAATTATTTATGACAGTTCCTTCGGACTGAGAAATTTAAAGAATGTATTTTGATTTAGAGAGATAAAATTTCCGAAGAATGAATAAACAGCTCACAAATCTACTAATTTTTATTTAGAATCGGGGTATTAATGGTCGATTGAAACGAAGCATTGCATCACGTTCCATTCGTGCAGGTTCATCGATTGTTTTGATCAGTGTGATAGGGTCAAAGGTAACACAACTTGTGCTACCGCTATTATTTATATCAGCACCATTTCCATTTGGTGCATCTGGTGAAGAGGTTGCAAAAATTCGTTCCAGCGAAACAGTGGAAGAAGGAATTGTCAGTAATTCGGTAGCTATTTCCGCTAGAAGTCCATATTTAACGGTATTGAATTGCCAGTATTGTAGTGGTGCTAAATTTCGACCGTTTAATGTTATTGGAAGCGCACCCGTTGCAACTGCAAGCGGTGATGGCGAAGTTTGATTAGTTCCAGCCTAAAATCCCGTAGAACATACTGATGATTGAAAATTCCAAAAATTCA